TAAGCCCCTCAACCCTATGAGGTAGGTTATGATGCCCCCATTTTACAGATGAGGAAACTAAGGCAGAAAGAAGAGAGTAACCTGGTTCAAGAGCTGACCACTGGTCACTCACAGAGCTGGGACTTGACTCCAGCAGTCTGGCTCCAGACCGCACAGTCATCACCTCCACCCTCATGCGGGGAAACTGAGGCTCATTAAAGGTTAGTAACTAGAACATTTTCCCAAAATTCCCATATACTCACTCCCCCATGGTAACATTCCATCAGCATGCCCACTCAAGAAAGAAATAAAAAGCTCTCTCCATCAGTATTGTTGACATTACTCTTTTGTACCTGATAGTAAATGCTTCAGCTGTCAGATACTGGATCCTCACATATATTAAAACATACAGCAAGAAAGAGCAAAGTGTATGCTAGTCTTAATTTCTGAGCAGATTGAGTTTCACATCAAATATTTCATCTTCTTCCAATATATAATCCAATTACTTCCAAATCTCCATTATTATTTTCATTGTATATTCATGCATTGCAAGAAATTTGAAAAAAAAACAAAAACACCTGAAAAACTTTCAGGAATGGGTCAAATCCATTCGGAACCACTTACTGCTATTTTTTATTGGATTACTCGAGGTCACATTGGTGAAAACTGCTATCATCTGTGAAACATTTTAAATCCCTTGACTCAGAAGCACACTGGTCAAACTTGATTTTTAGTGAGTTCTTTTACCAGACATTACCTTACCCCTATGATGTCAACTCTAGCTCAGGGAAACAGACTTATTTTCTCCCTCAGAGGAAGACAGAATGACCTTTGAAGCTGATGTAACCGCAGTTAAGGAGCAGTGATAATGACTGCTCTAGAATCATTCTTTATGAAACTTGTAAGGACACAGAGTTTAGCAGCAAAGCAGGCTTCTGGGTTATTTAATTATTTTAAATTTATTTGATCACTTATTTCTTTATTTCATGCCTTGCTCCACCAAGGATTCAAAGTTCATCCTTTTTTTTTTTTTTTTAAGGTATGCTGCTTAAGAATTTTTATCTTCCAAGTGACAGATTTATTCATAGCTATAGGCAATGCTTCCCTTATTTTTCTGACGTTCTTCCACTCTTATGGCAGGTAAGATCTTAGATCCCCAAAAATATGAATGTTCCTCCCAACAGAATCCCTCTCCAACTCCGCCCCCCCACCACCAATTTCCTAGGTATCTCTTTAAAGGAGTCCAGAAATTAAATTTAGAACTATTAGGCCAAGCACAATAAAACAACAAAAAAAGGTTATTTAGTGTGTGGAAATTGGCTTTATCTCTCATGCACTTGCTTCTTTTATTAAGGAATCCATGAGGCCTACCTTCTCCCCATCTGCCAAAATGGGCTGACATCAGTTTGAGGCATTCAGAGTTATCAAGGGGTGTGAGGGGAGGAGGGGCGCCAGGAGGAGGGGGCGGACCGGCGGGCTTGCAGAGCCCGGCCATGTCATAAGCATTCTTTCCAAAGGAAACCAAGTTAAAAGGCTGATAAACCCCAATCTCTCTTCACAGCTTGCCTTCGGAGCCCCTTAATGCAACTCCCTCATTTGTTCATCAGCACTTTATGAGAAAATAAACAAAAACACGGCCTGTTTCCTCATTGTCAGCACATCAGAACACTTCCTGCTCAGAGAGGCCACCAACCCGCCCAAAGAGTCAGGGGACCACTCTCTATTTTGCCTCCACTTTTTAACAGCTCGTTTTCTAAGCTGAATTCCAAGGGCCTAATCAAATCTGAAGCCCCCTCTGGGTGGATTAGATGTCCTAGATTCCAGTGCTCTGCAGGACAGGAGGCTCCCCTGGAAGGATCAGTGGGTGAGCTACACTGAAACCACGAGGTTGCTTCCTGTTTCTCCATTCTTATTTTACCTTAAAAAAAAATTAAAAAGTGGGCTAAGGAAAAGGAGAAACGCTTAAAATAAATAACTTTTCACCGAATCACCAGTTCTATAAGGTACTGTAAATTCTATAGCTGTTGTAACATTCGCCAATCAATTCAATCCTTCCAGATTTTTCACTAAATCTGATGAAAAAAAGCAAGCAGGAAAGAAAGGGAAAGGAAGGAGAGGAGAGGAGACGGGAGGGGAGGGGAGGGGAGGGAAGGGAAGGGAAGAGAAGGGATAGTCACTGAAAATATAAGAGCTGTTGGGTTATGACTCTTACGTTTAAATTCCCAACGGGCTAAACGGTGCCCTGAGATAGTCCTAGCACTGATATCTCCTTCTTGAAGAGATGTGAACATTTGAAAAGGAGAAGCACAGAGAGTTTAGCCGGAGGGTGCAGCCAAGATTCTGGATGGATGCTGGAATGCTCCAGTGGCTCCGAGGTGTGGTGGGTTCCCACCATGCCAACTTTTAGGGGTCTGGCATTTAAAATGCACGAGTACTGTGGAGCTGCAGTTCAGGCCACAGGCTCTGGAGCCTGACTTCTTGGGTTCACACTGTAACACCAGCACATGCTATCTCTGAGAACTTAGATGAGTTCCTTAAACTCTCTAAGCCTCCCTGTCTGCCTCACAGGGTGATTATGACGATTAAGTGAGGTGGTGGATGGAAAGAGCAGGGGCCTGGGCCACTGGGCTAAAGAAATGTTTACTGTTAAATATCAGATGACATGCATGACTTCCAACATTTCTTACACTGTGCAGATTATGGGCATAATCCTAAGGGGCTGTTTTTCTTTAAGAAAAAAAGAAAGAAAGAAAATACAGACACAGTGGAAACTAACTTTAATATATTTGCTAAGGAGTAGAATTCAGGGTAAGTTGCATCTATCTTAGAACCCACGCAATGGGGGCTTTATTATCACAAAACAAAGGCTTCATTTAGAAACAAAGCAAACTCTTGGCATGAGCCTGGGGCCCTAGCATACTTTGGAACCAAAATCCTAGAGAAATAAGTGAAGATTGCCACTGACTGTGTAATCATGTGCTCTTGGACAAGACACTTAACCTCTTGGTGTTCTCATCTAAAAAAAATGAGCTGGACGAAAAGGTATCAAAACTCCTGACAGGTCTCATTTCACCCTAATGTTCCATAATTCTACTTAATGCCATGAACTGTCTGAAGTAGAATAAAACCAGATGATGAGAGTAATAGCCCCCAAGCTCTCACACCCTAGGATAAACAATTTAGCACTCTATCGTTTAGACTCCCATGAATATGCTATGCGGAAAGTCTTTTAGTCTTGTCTCCCCATCTAGGTTAAAAACTCTTTGAAGACAGAGATCATGCATCATTCTTCTCATTCTTCATTGTCCTCTGCCCAGCATTAAACACACCGTAGCCATCAGGAATGTGCGTAAGTAGAGCCTAATTCCAAAAGCCACCCATGATACGACTTCATAGGCATAATTCCGTAATCCATCCATGTTATAACTTCACGGTCATGCTGGATACCTGTTGCTCAATCACAGCAACTTAACCCAAAACAGGCATCAGTGAGAACAGCCAGGCATGTGACTCAGTAAATCATATTTCTAGCCTTTCATTTGTTCACAAATATGTATTTAATAACTGTGATTATCAGGCACTGTGCTAGACATCAGGGATGCTCTACACCCCCATCACAACCCTGAAGGTTCTCACGTAGACAATGTGGAAATCACATATGTGCACCAATGGAGCATAACTAGAAACCGAACTGGGTCAACAACCCTTTTTTCTCAATCTATGCCCCCCCCTTCCAGATGAAGGGGCTTCCCAGTTCATCCCTGGAGTTTTATTAGTATTTACTATGTCAACAGGTACAGTATTCCTAAGTTTAAAGAAAAACAAGCATGCATTTACAGGGCTTTGTACAGGTCTAAAACCTAGTGTTTATCAACAATATTTTGATCTTTCTTAAAGCGGAAATATAATACTGCAGACTGGCGACACTTATTCCTAGAAGCCTTCTGAACTTAGCATTTCCTGCTGCTGTGTTTCTGGTCTTAAGTACATCAGCAAAATACTCTGTGGTCTGTAGATTATCTGTAAACCAACTGACAGGTATCCAATGCAGACCATGCAAGGACATTACTTCGCCCCTATCGCTGCCCTCAGATGATGTTGTGAAAAGTAAAAGTTCATCAGATGCGACTGGGTTCACGATGGACCCGCACTGTGAATTCCTAAGGCTGAAAGGCCGATTGCAATTTATCACTCCTCCTGCTTATCAGCCATAGAGTGACTTTCCTCCATTTAAATAGCAGCCGGCTTCCCTCCTATGGCTCCATCCCTGTTGCCAAGGTTCTCTAAATGCTAATGAGGAGATAGAGAACACTCTGTGATCTTGTAAAGTGCTCACCCAGCAATTTGGCAAAAACAGAGTGTAAACATCATGCCTGGATACCTGCATTTGTTGGTCAAGGATCAATGCAGAAATGACCACCACAGAGGCTGTGTCTGCCACCACAAGAAGAAACAGAATATTCAAATGTTTTTCTAGAAGTTTCAGATGTGTTGAACATAATACTAGGAAAACCCATACACTTATATCGATGATTATTTGTGGCAATAAACAAGGACAGGAGATTGAAATTATAATTCTCACAAACTTAGGCATATTATATAAAGACATAACTTGGTTCTATGGAAAATATTTGAGATAGGAATATGTGAACGGATCCAAACGATGTGAATAATAGCATCTGGATGCTTAGTTAGCAAATAAGAGAATCAGCAATACTATGTTTGACAGCTGCTGTGGTTTCCTGGATAGGAAAATCAACTTGGAATTGAGAGGTCTCTGTTTGATCCAATAAATGTTCATTGAGAGCATTCCCAGCTTCACCACAAATAACAATGAGTGAACATTATAAAGTCATACCTAATCCCTAAAGTCTTCAGTGAAAGGATCCAGGCTGAATAGGTTTCTTCAGGTTCTGAGTCATCAGCAGTATTTATAAGAAGTGTGCAAGATAATCAACCAACAGATTGTTCACTTGAAAGCTAGAACAGAATCCTGTGTGATGACTTCTTTGAAAACTCACCTGCAAATTTCAGATATACCTCAAGTGTCGCAGAATCTCAGAGCCGGACGCATCCTCAAGAGGTCACAAAATGAAGTAACACTTGACACATAGCCATATATAAGTAAATCCACCTAGACAGAACAATGAGGAAATCATAAGGGACCTGAAACTGCGCAGAAATCAAGATGAGATGATTCCCAGAAGGAAGCAACAAAGATAAAATGCTGAGCCAGGATTACAAAATCAAAGTTAACCTCAAAACCATCAGAGAAACATGTCCTCTTGGGAATGCTTGTAATTTCAATTCAGCATAACTTCTTTTGAGTTTTTATTCATTAATGTCAAGCCTGGTTTTAAACTTAATGGCTAAGGGTCAAGTTCAGACACAAAAAGCATAGGCGTGCAAGTAGATACAACCCGACGTGTTTATCTTTTCAGCGCACACTTTCTGCTGCAGGCGTGTGCCAGATGTAGCAGCAGCTGTAGGAAGTTGTTTATCTACCCTCTTGACCTTTGTGAAGTGTTAGGAGATGGTAAAAATCATGTTTTTAAATTATAGGCGTCTCCTTTTAAACTAGCATCTTCTTAGCATCAGTCAAAACACATCAATAAAGGCATAAGAAGGTCAAGAAGATACGATTGCATCCCAATGATATCTGTAAAAACATACTTCTGCAATGATTTACAATGCAACAAGGGCTCTCTGCTTATTTCCAAATTCACTTCATTTATTCAACATTCAGTAAATATTTATTGCACTCCTACTGTCTGCCAGGCACAATTAAAAACTGCAAATCAAATGAATTCTAATACCTGTAATATTTGTGTCTTGCCTGAATTTCTACAAATGTCATTTGTGCTTTGCAAATTTATCCTTTAAATTTTTCAAAATCTATTAATATTCCAAGGATGAAAGATGCCTCAAAATCTTTAGGTGTACTTATTAAGAAAACATTATGGGGGGGGCGGTTCACAGCCAAATGTAAAGATTTCAGAGGCAAATGCCACATCCTTCTTACAGAGAAGAGCGCTTTGGCCAAGCTTCAGGGCCACACAGCTTCTGTACTGATGGGTCACCATTCAGGTCTGGAGGGATTACACTAAATGCAAGTGGGACTGATCTATCAACCTAATCACTCATGAGAAATAATAACAATGTCATTAGCTAAGTTTCCAAAACAACCTAGTTCCTGCTTGAAAGTCAATCCCTCAGAAGCATGCTAAGACTTACTTTTGTTATGACATTTGGATGAAGTCACAAAAGTTCCTTTGGTCTTTCTCTGTCAACGTCAACGTCCTCTGGGGAAACCAGTGTGGTGATATCAAAAAACAAAAGGAAACAAATCAGAGTCTCCAAAGAGAAAGACGCAAACAATAATTATTTTTAAGAAACCCAGTTAGTTTTTCATTTTGGCCAAGGAATAATTAGAAAATATACTTACTGCTTTCCCCAAAAGGTCAGCTTACAACCAAAATCAAAATGTATTCTCATACTTCTTTGAATCATGGCTATTGATTTGCCAGAATTCTCCTAACCCAATAAAATATTTGTAAACATGGACATTCACATTAAACTATATTTAGACATATTTAGTATGTGTATATAATTTAATTATATAGGTACAGATAAATTCTTTGGGATTCTAAGTTAGAGAACTGACACAAAGTTTTATTTGTCTTTGAGATGTGTACACATACGTGTGTCTAGGCATGGCTGCGTGTGTGTGTTGGCAAGGATTGACAGATGTGGCCCTTGCCTTCAAGGAGCTCTTAATCTAGTAGTTGCATGTTAAATCTGGTTCACTTGACATGATTTTCTCTGACAATCTTTGTTTATATAGTAAAAGGCCATTCATTCACTGAGCAGTGATAGGGTATAAGATTTTGAATTTTCATCTTTCACAACGGGCTGTCTTGTTTTCCATTCAGTTAGCCTTAAATCGAAATCAGCCTTAAAACTCTCTGAGTCTCAACGTTTTGCTATCACTTCAACTTGCCTTAGAGAGATGACATAAGTCTTTCAAAACAACAATTTTTAAGCATTCTGAGGCAATGACAACCTGTTGGACTGAATTTCCAGTTGCACAAATTGTAGCTGTTCCATCTGAGGGAATGACTGTGGTAGAACTAAAAAAAACATGAAATAAATTCTGAAAATATTTTCAGATGTCAAAGAATGAGACTATCATTCAATCACTCAATAAATATGGCCTAGATATCTACTTGGTGCTAGTTGTTGCACCAGAAAATTGCTTCCAAATGTCCTCTTCACTCACTTCAGAGCCACAGTAAATCATGATGACCAAGTCTTGGCCATGGTCATAGAAAAACAGCCCAAATTGCTGTCCTGTGAAATTTTTCTTAGGATTCCTATGAGTGTGTTGATGGGGACAATGTTGAGTGTTACTGAAGGCAAAAAATATGTGTATGACCGGAGTGATATATAGACTATTCATAGGGTGTGATTTATATAAATATGGTGTGATTTTAGAAAAAAGTTAATGGTCCCTATGACACCAAAAGCACAGACAACAAAAGAAGAAAATAAATAAACAGGACTATATCAAAAGTCCAAACATCTGTGCCAAAAGACACAATCAACAGAGTGAAAAGTCAAACCATGGAACAGAAGAAAATACCTGCAAATCATAGATCTGGTAAGAGGTTATTATCTAGAATAAACAAATAAATCCTACAACTCAACAACAAAAAACAAACAACCCAATTAAAAAATGGGCAAAGAATTTGAATAGACATTTCTCCAAAGGAGATGTACAAATGGCCAATAAGCATACGAAAAGATGCTCAGCCTCACTAACCATTAGAGAAATAGAAATCAAAACCACAATGAGATACCACTTTATACCCATTAGGATGGCTATCAAATAAAGAGAAAATAACAAGTGTTGAAAAGGATGTGGAGAAATTGGAATCTTTGTGCACCAGTGATGGGAATGTAAAGTGGTTCATCCCTTACAGAAAATAATATGGTAGTTTTTCTAAAAAATGAAAAATAGAACTACCATATGATCCAGCAATTCTACTTCTGGGTATATATTCAAAAGAATTGAGAGCAGGGTCTCAAATATTTATACACCCACAACCACAGCAGCATTATGCACAATAGCCAAAAGGTAGAAGCAACCCAAATGTCCATCAATGGATGAATGGATAAATAAAATGTGGTATATACATACAATAGAATAGTATTTAGCCTTAAAAAGGAAGAAAATTCTGACAGATGCTATAACATGGATGAACCTTGAGGACATTATGCCAAGTGAAATACACTAGTCACAAAAAACAAATACCATATGATTCTACTTATGTGAGGTATCTAGAGTCATAGAGACAGAAAGCAGAATGGTGGTCTTCAGGAGCTGCGGAGTAGAGAGAAATGGCAAGTTGTTTAATGGGTATAGAGTTTCAGATCAGCAAGAATAAAGGAGTTCTGGCGATCTGTTTCACAATAATGTGAATATACTGAACACTTCTGAACTGTATACTTAAAATGTTAAGATGGTAAATTTCATGCTACATGTATTTTATCACAATTAAAAATAATGGTAATAAGTGAATGATCCCAATGCAATTTTACAAAGTTGATTTCTTTAAACAAATACTGTTCTCAATGTTTTTAAAATCTGCTATGTATCAATTGGAGTCAACAGAGGGCCAGCAACCCAAAGGGAATATGGAGTCCTAAATCTAAGACAAAGTCAGCAAGCATCTCTCCTCACAATTGATAATAGTAAAAATACCACACGACAAAAGGGATCTGGGAACAACTGATAATTGAATTATTCAGGGTTCACCAGAGAAACAAAACCAATAGGATACATAGAGGGAGATTTATTTTAAGGAGATGGCTCACAACTGGCTCATAATTGTGAGGCCGTCAGGTCCAGAATCTATAGGGCAGGCTGCAGGCAGGAAATTCTGGCAAGAGTTGATGTTGTAGTCTTGAGTCCAAGGCCAGAAACTCGGGCAGGGTTTCTATGTTACAGTCTTGAGGCAGAATTCCTTCCTCTTTAGGGGACCTCCATCTTTGGCTTTAAGACCTTTGACTGATTAGATGAGGCCCATCCCATCACAGAGGATAATCTGCTTATTCAACATCTACTGATATAAAATGTTAATCTCACTTAATAAGAATAATCTCATTTAAATGTTAATCAGTTAAAACTTAATGTTAATCTCATCTAAAGAATACCTTCACAGCAACATCTACACTGGTACTGGACCAAACAACTGGTACTGTAACCTAGCTAAGCTCACAAATAAAATTAACCAACACAGTTATGACACATATTTTCTTTTAAATGAACCTATCTGTATTTGTATAAGTGAATTTCTAATTCCAAGTAGTGGACTTGGGAAATTATACACTATTTCATTGATGCTTTCTTTGTTCTCTTTTGCTAAGTCTCTGTCTGTACAAGGCAGAGCCCAACCCAAGCAAAAAAAGAAAATTAATCTTTTTGCTTATAGTAATTTTTTAAAATAGCCCAAATGTTATTATTCAGTTTATTTAATTATTTAGTTAAAATAACTTTGTTCCAAAGAAGTTGGGACCATTTTTAAAAATCAAATTCACTTTCAAAGTTGAAAATTTACCACCTTTGAGAATTTTTAAAAGCATGTGTCACTAGAAACCACAGCACAGATGGCATTTAAAAAACTGATTCAAATATCAGCATCACTGGATTTAGTGTAACGCTCCCAAAGGTAAAATCTTCCAAAAGCTGCCCACACTCTTCCAGATGTATAAGCTCTGGTCATTTATACTTAAACCTTTGAGCTAAATTGTAACTATGAAGTTGCAGTACTGGGAATTTTGATGTGAAAGAATATCATAATAACAAATATAAAAGATCTCAATCACCCTGTTCATGATAGGGAAAACTATCTATAGGAATGTGATTAAACAAATGATAGTACTAACTTAAACTGGATAGAATACTGTGTAGCTGTCTATAATGGGATAGGCAGGGACAGGAAATGTACAGTCTCTATTCAGGCAGTGAAACTTCTAAGATTTGTATGCAACTTTTGCATGCAAGTTCACTTTTCTAGGGCAAGAGACCCTAACTCTGAATCAATGTGTTATAACCCCCCAAAAAAGTTAGGAAACAGCGTAGCAGAAGAATATTTAATGCAATGGTAAAATGTTCAAGTTATACTGCTAAGTGAAAAGGCAAAATATTAAAGAGCTCATACAGTGAGCTCATACAGTACTTAAAACATTTTGATGTACGCTTTGTAAGTAATAATGGAAAAATATACACCAAAATGTTAGTAGGAATAATCTCTGGGTAGTGGGATTACGTATAATTTTTGTTGTTATTGTCTTATTTTGTTTTGCTGTTGGCTTGTCTGTATTTTCTCAATTTTCTACAATGATATGTATTGCTTTTATAAAGAAGAAAAAGTAAAAATTTAAGTTGGAAATGGAAAGTTGGAGAATGATTTGTCAGTATGTCATCAACACAGTTCAGACTACATGAGTTCTAATTCTAGTCAACTGATCCTTGTTGATATTAATAGTAGCTGTAATAATAATAAAGTAACAATTATAATGATAATAATAACAAACCATTTTATAACGACCTGTGCAAATGATCCCCCTGTTACTTGATTGGGCCTGGTATGTGTCTAAATATAAATCAATTAGCTGGAATTTGGGTTTATAAATTAGTTTAGTGTGAATGTAGTTGACACAAATCAATCTCCCTTGGTCAGTTCATCCATTCAGTTCATCATCTGAACTTGCAAAATTAAAATACCCATATAGTTGTACCTGTGATTCTCTTATGATCCCTCAAGTTTGAAAAAGGTATAAGATACTTACAGAAAATAATGGCAGTCTCTCTCAAAAGAATCAGATTCATGAATAGATTAACTCCATTTTTAAACTGTGTATCTCTTTCTAACTTTTTCTTAAAATGTTGGTATTATCACCTACCTATCTGCTAGCAAATATTAGCAGCTAACAAAACAAATGATAAAATAGCAAATAAATATTAATAAACAATACCTAGTTCAATAGCTCATTGTTATTTTTTCACAGACAATAATGTTTTAGGTTCTGCATCAGTTTGGGACCTCCAGGAAATGGGACTTCCAGGAAACAGAAACATAACAGATTTACTGGGGGAAATGTTTATGAAGGACAAAGGGGAGTGGGGGCAGGAGTAGCCCAAGAGCAACTCAGACCGTGTTTCTAGAGAGGGAGGGAAGGAGGACATGGTACAAGAGCCTCAGACTGCAGTGACCTCTGTGAAGGTCTCAGCCAGACT